GGTCCTTTCTCTGGTTCACGCTGGAATGGTTTGATGTGACGGATCTGGCTGCTCCCCAACGCTTGCCCAAGTAGGAGATAGCCTTGTGCGCTCTTCCGCACCCACGGGCTCTTCTCCGGGTCGTTCTCGGGGCGCTTCTCCGTTCCTTCCATCACCTCCAGCAGGTCATAGTGGTCAAAGATGTTCTCCATCTTGAAGGACCATTCAGCAAAGTTGTCACCGTTGAACTTGTCAAGCCCAAACACCCTAGGCTCATCCCTAGGTGGGCCAAGACTTGGTTGCATGGGCGCCATGGCTGAATCACGGGGTTGGCCTTGAGCTTGAGCTTCTCCACTGCCACCAGCACCTCTGCCACCCCTTTCCTCAGGTCCAGACATTGTCGAAACTGCTCCAAGGGGCTCTGATACCACTTGTTATAGTCACAATAGGCTTGAATGTGCCTAAAACGAAAGATAGAGAGCACAGACGGATTTCTGCACAGCGGCTTCAAACGTTGATAGCGTTCTGCTCACAGCTGCAAATGACTTGATTCAAATTGGATCTGGAGCGTCTTCACGTCGTCTACAATTAGCAATTTAGATTGCACGATTTGATAAAGAATTGACGACACAGCGTCGGTTTGAACGAACGGTACTATGGCAGCCACTATAGTCTTAGAACACAAGATAGGAAGAGTTACGAGTTGGGAATGACTCCCAGCTCCTACAAACCCCAAGAGCCGAGGTACAGTGATGTGGAACAGTGCCACACTGTCCCCAACCACGAAGGGTCTCGAAACTACCCTTCACTAGGGCCTACACCAAGTGAAATGTTACACTACACAAAGTAATGTAACTATCTTCAATATCTTGAGGTGTACCCTTTTGGCAAGCTTCGAAATCACTTGAGGCTTGACACCAAGGCTCGGGCTCTTCATCACAAACTCATCCTTGAGTTCTTGATGGGTCTGCTGCACACACCTGCGACACGCCGAACGTTCGACACAGGACAAAATAGAAACCGCGCACGACAAAATAGAAACCGCGCGCGAGACACAAACGACCGCGTAACACGCGTCTAGCGATAACTCGCTATTGACTCCACACACACACTCGACATCATGACTCAACATTCACACACAATTATAAGCATGAAATATATATTATCCCATGCCCTCATACCATTCCATACACACACACATTCATGCACACGGACAACAAGCCGAGTGCAAACCGTAGGGTTGCACCAACATTAGACAATTCTCCGCATCCTCAGCAAATGATTCCATTTCGTTCGACGTGGTCCGCATGATTTGAGCGCCTGAACTCTGCCCGGTACGCTCATTATATGTGCCCATACTGACCAGTCTGCCCAACGCGCCACTTTGATTGGTCCACTGCGTTGGATGCCTCTTTTTTTTTTTGTCCACTAGATTATACTATATTCCGCACCCACAGTAAGTGTTTCCATTTCGTTCCTTGTGGTTCGCAAGATTTGAGCGCCTGAACCCTGCCTGCTACGCTCGTTATACGTGTCCATACTGTCCAGACTGCCCAACGCATCACTTTGATTGGTCCACTGCGTTGGAGCCTCTATATTTTTGCTAGGCCTTTAGATTAGACTATTCTCCACATCCTCAGCAAGTGTTTCTATTTCGTTCTTTGTCGTTTGCAAGATTTGAGCGCCTGAACTCCGCATGCTACGCTCATTAAATGTGCCCATTCTGACCAGACCGGCCAACACATCACTTTGATTGGTCCATTGCGTTGGATGCCTTTTTTTTATTGCTATTCCACTAGATTAGACTATTTTCTGAATCCAGAGCAAGCATTTCCATTTCGTTCCATGTTGTTTGCAATATTTGGGCGCATCATCTCTGCCTGGTACGCTCATTACATGTGCCCATACTGACGAGACCGCCCAACAAATATATCTCACATTCCCCATACCCCATAGGTTTAGTGAACATGCCTTAGGAGCTTCAAATGTGTGCAACTGCTTGGCACGTATGGTGCGCCGTAGTGGCCAATATTAACTAGTTGTATGTAACGAATGTGTTGAAGTGGTTTCAGTATTGTGGAGCTTTCGAAATGAAGAACTTTTCCCCTATGTTTCTCTTGTGCTGGATTCTACACAGTGATTTAGGACCCACTGAGCACCGCAGCACCTGAATAGCAGTATCAATAAGTCACATGTACGGTATAGTGAGGTGAGCTGATTCCCTACATTTGTGAGTTTTATGTACATCTCAACTCAAACCTTACAGCAGAAAGACCTTACCATATTACGTTTCATGTACAAGCGGAGCATTTCCAAGCCACGTGCCGCCATGTGCGCTGGTTTTTTTTTCAACACCTTCCTCGAAGCTCAAGAGTGAATGTGCTTAGAAACTTATGACGGGTACAGTTACCACAATGGTCCCATCACAGTCAGCACGCATGTCTGACCCCACCAACCAAACGAACCGAGTTGTCACGCAAATGGACGGGCCTTCCTACTGGCTGCACCGACTTGCATGACATCTGGAAGCTTTTTACTCGGTGAATTGGACACGCGACACACGCAATATCCCACCGGACCTCTGACCAAGCCTCACACGTTGCCACGGAGGTTCAGGTCAAGCTGGGAGGGAACGCGAGAATCCCCCCTCGAGAAAGTCGCGCCGAAATCCGGAGCACCTCCGTGTCATGTCACGGGGACACCCCTGGCCAGAATGTTCATCTGCGAGAATTTCGTGCCATTCCGCTAAAATGGCTCGAGAGTGCTTCCTTCCGCCCGCGCAACAGAACCGCGTTGGTGCCGGCGGATACACGGGGAGGTTGGACTTGGCGCTTGCGTTGCGTTGCGCGCGGGCAGGCACAGTGCTCGAGGGGAGGGGGGGGGATGCCAAGCCAGACGGGGCCAGGTAAGAACTGCTTCCTGCTGCTGCGGAAACCCAACCTTCTCCAATCGCGTCGCAATTGCACGATTTGAGGCGCCATGGTCTTATATATTGTTCCGTGCAGGCATTGACAGCTCATTCTGAGCACAGTCAGTAATTACTCGCCACCAATTTGTCAAGCGGGACCTGACGACCTGCGAACTACCCTGCTACTAGCTTACTACTACTACCACTCAGCGTTTGTTTCTTAGTGAATCAGATGACGACACTGATTTCCTCCGTGTCCCTCCACCAGCGGAGCATCGCTGAACCTCGATTTCATCTGGAAGTGGTCGAAGCGTTTCGCCTTATCGACACAAATGGCGACGGCCGGATTTCGTACGAAGAGCTCGCCACTCTCCTTGATCGCCTTGGGATTGACGACGGTCTGGCCGTTGTTCACGATATCATCGGCGACGCGGATCGTGACGGCGACGGTCAGATCGACGTTGAAGAGTTTTTAATTGCTGCCCGTGGAGCGCCGTGTAACTGCCGCGTCACCGGCTTATCTTGCTGGCATGAAAACGAGGACCTGCAGAAGGCCTTTACGCTCTTCGATTGTGACAATAGCGGGGACATTACAGCGGAGAAGCTACAGATGGCGATTTGGAAGATAAACGGCGAATCCGTCAGCCTGTTGAATTGTCAACGCATGATCGCGAGAGTTGACTCTAACGGGGATGGAATGGTCGACTTTAACGAGTTTCAACGTATGATGGATGGAGTGTTCGGCTGAAAGCATGGCGCTGCTTCCGTCCGTCACCGAGGCGGTTCTCAACTTCTGAAGGCCCAGTGGCACCACCGTCAATAATAAACGATATCATGTTGACATTAATCGTTTACGCGGAATAAGTGCCAGGGGTTTCTGTTCTAATTCACCCGTGACGGCGTTTCCGTTCTGTTTTCAGATTCTACATGAATTTGGAATGTGTGACGCCAATAGTCTCAATATTCTGATCCTTTGTTTGCGGAGCTCCTGCATACACTTAGTTGGCTGGGACCTTATCTTGTACTTAAGATGATTTTAAGGAGATGACCTCTTGTACATCAACCTACTTTTCTGCATCTAAGGGTACGTTCTTGGCTGGTGTCAGGCTCGCTGACACAAGGCTGATGGACGATTTTGATCATTCCAAGTCATCATCGTCAATATCTACTAAAATCCCAACCTTTCAGAGCTTGGTGTCAAGATTCTTGACACCAACTAAGAACGCACCCTACGTTTTCACACCGGTATTCTCTGAAAAGCATGCGGTGCTATCAGGACAGTCTCTGCATGGAATACCTCAAGCACCTCCTTTGATAAATCGCTGGCACGTTCATGAATGAAATGATTTCACTGCTTTCCACTGGCCTGGCAGTCAAATCTCACAACAGAAATTGCTGGTTGCCAGAACATTGGGGCAGAAAACGCTTGTGATAAATAGCCGAACGTGCATGGATACATACAGAGATCTAAGCTGGTTATAGATAGAGCATGGAAAGTTTATTAGAGTTAAGCTAGCTGAATAGGACAAGATGTCTACAATCAAGGCCCTCCCTGAAGAGAACGCTTAGCTGGACCAGTGTACTCTTGAGGCATATCAAAGATACAGCAGGAGCAGTCTAGGCGAGCAGAGAAAGGGTGAGAAGCAGAGCAGATGTGGCCGGAGTGCTTGAGGCAGGAGTTGAGTTGAAAAGCTGGCGAGTTGATATGTTGGACTGATATGTGGAGCTGATCTGTGGGGCTAGATCGCAGGAAGAATGCTGATTCTAGATTGCAGGGAGGGTGGTGGTGGCAAGCAGACCTTTGAACACTACTGCCGAGTAGGCGGAGCGGAACAAATCAGCAGGGAGGGTGTTGGGGCGGAGTGGGGATAGGATTACAGGGAGAGAGTTGGGGCCAGACTGCAGGAAGAGTGTTGAGTCTAGATTGCAGGGAGGGTGTTGGACATGCGGAGTGTTTGAATGGTGGCAAGCAGGCCTTTGAATACCACAGCGGAGTAGGCGGAGCGGAAGGAGTCGACACGTGGGGCTAGGATTGCAGGGAGAGTGTTGGAGCTAGATGGCAGGAAGAATGTTTGGGCTAGGCCGCAGGGAGGGTGTTGGGGACAGATTGGGGCTAAATAGCGGGAAGGGTGTTGGACATGCGGAGTGTTTGGATGGTGGCAAGCAGGCCCTTGAACACCACAGCAGAGTAGGCGGAGCGGAACGAGTCGAGCAGAGCAGGGGAGGGGTCGGAGGCAACGCGGGTGAGGCAGAACTCGAGGAAGCCAGACTGGAAGGGTGAGGGGCTCTTGAGCTGCTGCTGGTAACGCTGTAACCACAGGTGCGCCATGACTTTGCACATGGCCTCCTCGATCTCTGAGGGAAGCGCTGAGAAGGCACCTGCGGGGATAAGGAGGAAGGGAAGGGAAGAAAAGGCGGTTTGAGCTGCTGCTGGTAACGCTGTAACCACAGGTGTGCCATCACCTGGCACATTGCCTCCTCGATTTCTGATGGCAGAGCAGAGAAGGCACCTGTGGGGAAAGGAGGAGGGAGCGAGGCCAGGAGAGGGTTGAGAGCAGGTACTGCTGGTAATTGCAGTGCCCTGCCCAGGATCAACACACCCAGTATCGTGAGAGCCAAGTCCATACATGTCTCATAGCTCGTGACAGCAGGCGCTTGATCAACACTCAATGCATGCACGAGGCACGGGATGTACCATCGAGGATGAACCATGCATGCATTGTGCATGAGCTGATTGGCCATGACCCAGAGCAGAGAGAGATAGACAGACATCGGCAGGACCACCATGTATGCATGACTCATGAGGCAAGTTATGGCATGAAAAGACAAGGGGACTTACCATCGAGGAGGAACCATGCATGCATGAGCTGATTGGCTATGAGTCAGAGCAAAGCCAAACAGACATAAGGCACGCAAGGCAAGGAGCGACGTACCATCGAGAAGGAACCATGCATGCATGAGCTGATTGGCTATGACTGCCCCCGCCAGAGGTCTGATGGTGAAGGGGACAGGGGCGAGGGAGACAGGTGCGAGAGGAACAGGGGCGAGAGGGGCAGGTGTGGGGGGTACAAGGGAGGGACACAGGCGTCAGGAGGACAGGGGCGAAGGGGACAGGGGGGCGAAGGGGGTAGTAATGAGGAGACACAGAACCCATCAAGGAGGAACAATGCACGCATGAGCTGATTGGCTATGATGACTGCCCCGGCCAGAGGACTGGTGGTGATGGGGGGGAAGGGGGGAAGGGAACAAGGGCGGGGAGGACAGGGGGAAAGGGGACAGGGATGAGAAGCGAGAATACAAGGGGCATGATGGGAGGAGTGAAAGGGAAGAGGTGAGAAAGGTTTGCAAGTGGGGAAGGAGGGGGATGGGTAGGTTGGTGTGGTGGAGTTGGTGGTTAGGATGGTGCATGGTGCATGCATGGTGCATGCATGGTGCATGCATGGCACATGTTGTGATCCAGCACATTGCTGCATGCATGCATGGAAGGGGAATGCCTTGTTGGAACATACGCTGGGAGGCCGTAGAGAACGACAATGCCCGAGACGGCAGTGGAGGTGACATGCGTCAGTGACAGCAGTGACAGCAGTGACAGCAGTGCACAATACACTCACACGACGACATGTAGGTCCATGCACAAACACATGCAAGGCGGTCGATGAATGCACGCATTTCCATGAGGGCAAGTCTACGGAAGGGCGTGGAACATACGCTGGGAGGCCGTAGAGAACGACAATGCCCGAGACGGCAGTGGAGTTGACATGCATCAGTGTCTTGGTTTCATGTGAGATGCCTGCAAAGGCCGCTGCTGTGGACCCTGGTGCCCGTACGACCTGTAGGAAAGAGGAGGTGGGGCACAGAGGAGGTGGGGCACAGAGGAGGTGGGGCACAGAGGAGGTGGGGCACAGAGGAGGTGGGGCACAGAGGAGGTGGGGCACAGAGGAGGTGGGGCACAGATGAGTTCACACGCACTACTAAGCGGCTTGGCCTGATGCGATAGGCTTTGATATGAAGGTTGTCTGATAGAGGGGAGATTGTGGGAGGAACAGGGAGGAGAGGCGAGAGACGGGGAGCGATATCAGAACTAGGAGTGTGGTTAGTTGTAACCTAGAGGCCCGATTAGCATAATGAGAAAACAGACATCAGAACTTTAGCAGAGAGAAGAAAAGGGAAAAAGAAAAAAGGAAAGAACCAGGAAAAGAACCTTGAAACAGCGCTAGAGGCAACTCAGAAGCTACATGGTGAGTAATGAAAAGATACTGGAAAGATGCTGGAAAGATGCTGGAAAGATGCTGAAAAGATGCTGGAAAGATGCTGGAACGATGCTGGAAAGATGCTGGATAGATGCTGGAACGATGCTGGAACGATGCTGGAAAGATGCTGGATAGATGCTGGAACGATGCTGGAACGATGCTGGAAAGATGCTGGATAGATGCTGGAACGATGCTGGAACGATGCTGGAAAGATGCTGGATAGATGCTGGAACGATGCTGGAACGATGCTGGAAAGATGCTGGAATGACACCGAAATGACATTGAAATGACACTGAAGTGACATTGAAATGACACTGAGATGATGCTATGATCAGATCGTACTCAGATGATTTGGAAACTCACTGTTTGGATGGTGGTTTCTTGAGTGAGGCACACTCCAGGTACCACCGCCAGGCGAGATGAACCCTGATGCCACACCACGCACGCCATGCAACAGAGGGAAAGTCCAGACAATGACATGCAAGCCCATCCAGGGATGCAGCGTACGTTTTTTTAGAATTCTCAAAAACCCACGCCATGCAACAGAGGGAAAGTCCAGACAATGACATACATGTGTGTGTATGCATGCAGACAAACCCATCCAGGGATGCATGCATGTGTGAAGAAAGCTAACACACATTGAGAGAGTCCGGCCATGCTGGTTCCAAAAACATTGTTTGCACACTAGACCACCATGAGTGTATGCGGATCAACCCTCCCCACCTCTCCACTTCCTTCTTCATGGGAAAGATTCTAAGCTGAATCTTTCCTTGTGATTGATTTTTGAGAACTCTGAAAAAATCCACCCCCGACTCTCTCCTTCCCCCTTCCTCTTCTCACCAAGAAACCCCACCCACCCTGCTCACCCCCCCATTCCCCCCACCCCACTCTCACCTGTCTCTCGCCCTCAGCAGCAGCTTGTAACGCCGCCACATCCGCGGTAACCACCCGTCCTCAAATTCCCCCATCTCTTCACGCCATTCCCCGCCCCCCCCCCATTCCCCCCACCCCACTCTCACCTGTCTCTCGCCCTCAGCAGCAGCTTGTAACGCCGCCACATCCGCGGTAACCACCCGTCCTCAAATTCCCCCATCTCTTCACGCCATTCCCCGCCCCCCCCCCCATTCCCCCCACCCCACTCTCACCTGTCTCTCGCCCTCAGCAGCAGCTTGTAACGCCGCCACATCCGCGGTAACCACCCGTCCTCAAATTCCCCCATCTCTTCACGCCATTCCCCGCCCCCCCCCCCATTCCCCCCACCCCACTCTCACCTGTCTCTCGCCTCAGCAGCAGCTTGTAACGCCGCCACATCCGCGGTAACCACCCGTCCTCAAATTCCCCCATCTCTTCACGCCATTCCCCGCCCCCCCCCCATTCCCCCCACCCCACTCTCACCTGTCTCTCGCCCTCAGCAGCAGCTTGTAACGCCGCCACATCCGCGGTAACCACCCGTCCTCAAATTCCCCCATCTCTTCACGCCATTCCCCGCCCCCCCCCCCATTCCCCCCACCCCACTCTCACCTGTCTCTCGCCCTCAGCAGCAGCTTGTAACGCCGCCACATCCGCGGTAACCACCCGTCCTCGAATTCCCCCATCTCTTCACGCCATTCCCCGCCCCCCCCCCCATTCCCCCCACCCCACTCTCACCTGTCTCTCGCCCTCAGCAGCAGCTTGTAACGCCGCCACATCCGCGGTAACCACCCGTCCTCAAATTCCCCCATCTCTTCACGCCATTCCCCGCCCCCCCCCCCATTCCCCCCACCCCACTCTCACCTGTCTCTCGCCCTCAGCAGCAGCTTGTAACGCCGCCACATCCGCGGTAACCACCCGTCCTCAAATTCCCCCATCTCTTCACGCCATTCCCCGCCCCCCCCCCCATTCCCCCCACCCCACTCTCACCTGTCTCTCGCCCTCAGCAGCAGCTTGTAACGCCGCCACATCCGCGGTAACCACCCGTCCTCGAATTCCCCCATCTCTTCACGCCATTCCCCGCCCCCCCCCCCATTCCCCCCACCCCACTCTCACCTGTCTCTCGCCCTCAGCAGCAGCTTGTAACGCCGCCACATCCGCGGTAACCACCCGTCCTCAAATTCCCCCATCTCTTCACGCCATTCCCCGCCCCCCCCCCATTCCCCCCACCCCACTCTCACCTGTCTCTCGCCCTCAGCAGCAGCTTGTAACGCCGCCACATCCGCGGTAACCACCCGTCCTCAAATTCCCCCATCTCTTCACGCCATTCCCCGCCCCCCCCCCATTCCCCCCACCCCACTCTCACCTGTCTCTCGCCCTCAGCAGCAGCTTGTAACGCCGCCACATCCGCGGTAACCACCCGTCCTCGAATTCCCCCATCTCTTCACGCCATTCCCCGCCCCCCCCCCATTCCCCCCACCCCACTCTCACCTGTCTCTCGCCCTCAGCAGCAGCTTGTAACGCCGCCACATCCGCGGTAACCACCCGTCCTCAAATTCCCCCATCTCTTCACGCCATTCCCCGCCCCCCCCCCATTCCCCCCACCCCACTCTCACCTGTCTCTCGCCCTCAGCAGCAGCTTGTAACGCCGCGACATCCGTGGTAACCACCCCCCTCCCTCCCTTATTCAACAACCCCTCCCTCTCTTCACACCCTCTGCCCCTCTGTTCCACCCCACCTCCCAACCCCTTCCCTCTCACCTGTCTCTCGCCCTCAGCAGCAGCTTGTAACGCCGCCACGTCAGCAGTAACCACCGGGAGCTCGTCGCCCATCACGCCCACAGCACCCCTCAGCACCGCTCCCAACCCAACCTCCTCAAAGAAACTCAGCACAGAGGCAAAAATAGGGGCACATTCAGAGGCCTCTACTACTAGAGTCCCCAGCGAGGAGGAGGAGGAGGAGGTGAGGGCGGAGAGTGCGGAGCCATGGGGAGAGGGCCAGGAGCAGGTGTTACAATCGGGGCAGAGCGTGCGGTTACCGCCAATGTCCACCATTGTGCATGTGGTGGGCTGCAGGAGGGAACGAGGGAGAGTGGACGGTGGGAGGGGGGATGGAGAGAAAAGGGGAGAGGGTACGTCATGATAAGGAGGGAATGATCAGAGGAAGGGCTGTGCTTAAGCCCGCCAGTGACTTTTGCGTCGACTCAAACTTCAGGTCATTAGAGGAAGGGCTGTGCTTGGCGCAGTGCTTGTGCTCAAGCCACTAGTCAGCCAATTTACCCGTAACAATAAACCTTAGAAAGACCTCGACAGATGGAATGGGGTCGAAGGGTCTACACTGTGTGTCAGACATGGACTGACTGACTGACTGACTGACTGACGGCACCTGGAGGCGAGTGCAGGCGGAGCAGAGGGGCGAGCCATCAGAGGAAGGGCTGTGCTTGGCGCAGTGCTTGGCGTGCCACAGGTCGTTCAGTCGATACTCCACCATGCCCGACTCGCTGGGGGCGATCTGCGAAAACCAAAGAGGGGAGGAAGGGGCAGGTAGGAGAGAGGGGGGAGAGGGCTGCGCTAGCCTGCTAGGCAGAGAGTGCTTGGCGTGCCACAGGTCGTTGAGTCGATACTCCACCATGCCAGACTCACTGGGGGCGATCTGTGGAGATTACAGAGGAGGGGTCATACACACAGGAACAGAGGTGACAGGTGGTTTAGGGTTAAGTGAGTAGATGGGGGTGAAAGCCATTAGGGGCACTTACGTAAGTGTCGCAGACGTAGCACTTGGGGTGGAAGAGCTGGCGGTAGCACTCGGTGTGGTAAGTGTCACCCTCCTTCACAGAGCACTGCAAAGAACAGGACAGGAGTGAAAAGAGCATAACAGTGTCACGAGCAGCGCATTTTGAGAATGATCAAAACACATGTACATATGAAGAACACCGAGGGCCGTGAAGCGATCACCATGAAGCGAAAACCATGAAGCGAAAACCATGAAGCGAAAACCATGAAGCGAAAACCATGAAGCAAAAACCATGAAGCGAAAACCATGAAGCGAAAACCATGAAGCGAAAACCATGAAGCGAAAACCATGAAGCGAAAACCATGAAGCAAGGGCCGTTCCATAGTAGGAGGTGAGGAAGCTTGGACAGGAGATCATAATACTACCTCACTACCCAAAATCACTCACACCCCCTCTCACTCCCCCTCACTCTGACTCCCCCCTCACCTGCATTTCAGTGATGGGTAGGCGGCAGTGGCAGCACTTGAAGCAAGCCGCATGCCAGTCACGGTTCAGAGCAATCAGGTACCTCCCAGAATTGATAGTCCGCTCACAAGCACCACATATGCCGTGCCTTGTGGGTCTGAAGGTGAAGGGGAAGGGGTATAGGGGTAGGGGTAGGGAGAATGGGTATAGGGCCATGACAGGGGCGGTTCAGAGCAATCAGGTACCTCCCCGAATCGAATAGTCCGCTCACACGCCCCGCATATGCCGTGCCTTGTGGGTCTGCACGGGGGCAGGGCGAGAGGGTAGGCAAAGGACACGAAGGGGTGAGAAAGCAGCAGTGGCGGCGGCAGTGGCAGCAGCAGCAGCAGCAGCAGCAGCAGCAGGCACAGGACCGTTCAAAGAGGCAATGACAAAAGTTACACCCGAATCACTTCATGACTCACGCGGCGTGGAATCCCTTCATGGGTGTCACCAGCACCAGCGCCCCACTCGTCGCATCCAACCCCCCTCCCAACCCTCCCAATCCTCCAGCAGCAGCAGCAGCGGCACCAGCGGGCACAGGTCCGTCCACCAGAGCCAGCAGATCGACCTCCCCATTCGCCTGCTTTGGAGCCACTGAATTCACCTTCTCCAGGAGAGATGCCTCTGACGTGCCAGTGTCAATGTCCTGGGGTTGGTAGGGATGTGGTGGATGGGTGGGTGAAAGAAAACAAGAAACTGATTAGCGGCAGCGGGCACGGGTCCGTCCTCCAGAGCCAGCAGATCGAATTCACCTTCTCTAGGAGAGACGCCTCTGATATGCCAGTGTCAATGTCCTGAGGAGGCCCAGTGGGAGCACTGTAAAGCACCAGAGCGCCCGGCCCTGCATTTGTGCCCAGCCCCAGTAAATCGCCCTCCCTCACCATTTCGAGATCCCGTCCCACTCACCAGAAGGCTGATCTCTTGCTGAAACGCCCTGGAAATGAGGTCATCCGCAGTGGGAGCACTGTATAGCACCAGAGCGCCCGGCCCTGCATTTGTGCCCAGCCCCAGTAAATCGCCCTCCCTCACCATTTCGAGATCCCGTCCCACTCACCAGAAGGCTGATCTCTTGCTGAAACGCCCTGGAAATGAGGTCATCCGCAGTGGGAGCACTGTATAGCACCAGAGCGCCTGGCCCCGCGTCTGTTCCGAGCCCCAGGAGATCGTCTTCCATGGACAGCAGGTCCGGTGGTGGCGATGCGATGCGATGTCCATCCGTTTACCCTCTTCCATGGATAGCAGGTCCGGTGGTGGCGATGCCCATCCCTCCTCCAGTCACCCATCCCTTCTCCAGTCACCCTCCCTCCCTTACCACCGCCACCCCCCGACTCACCAGAAGGCTGATCTCTTGCTGAAACGCCCTGGAAATCAGGTCATCGGCAGTAGGAGCACTGTAGAGCACCAGAGCCCCCGGCCCTGCGTCTGTCCCGAGGCCCAGCAGATCATCTTCCATGGATAGCAGGTCCGGTGGTGGCGATGCTGCTGCTGCTGCTGCTGCTGCTGCTGCTGCAGCTGCTGCTGCTGCTTCGGCCTCTGCTGCTGCCTCCTCCTCTGCCTTTTGGCGGGCTGAAGGGAAGGCAGGGACGTGGCAGTGTGAGGGGTTCCAGTGAGAGAAAACGAAGGGAATACAGGGAGTGAGATGGTTTCAGCAGAAGCAGGTAGAGTCACCCTTTCCGTCTCCCATTTATGTATGATCTGTGATAATTTTGATAAATAAGGATGCCCGTGGCATGTGCACATGCATGTGCCTTCGTTGTGTTGCGTCTGTGCGTGTTTGATCATGCGTGCTATTGCACCCCCCTCATCTCACCACTCATCAGGTCTTCACCACGACGAAGCCATTCATGCGTGCTATTGCACCCGCCTCAACTCACCTCACCACTCATCAGGTCTTCACCACGCACCTCTCTCCTCCTCCTCCTCTCGTCGTATGCTTTCCGCCCTCTCCTCCTCCCACTCCTCCTCCTCTTCCTTCTCTCGGTCGTTAAGTCCAATCCGCACCCCAACCAAGCCATTCATGCATGCAATTTCACTCACTTCACCTCACCACTCATCCGCACCGCACTTCACCACGCACCTCTCTCCTCTTCCTCCTCTCGTTGTATGCGCTCCGCCCTCTCCCTCTCGCGCGCCTCCTCCTCTTCCTTCTCTCGGTCATATGGTCGATCCTGCACCCAATCAAGCCAGCCATTTTGAACCAGCCATTTCGAGCCAATACCCCAAACATACATGCAATCCGCAAGTCCATACATTCATGCCACGCCATGCCATGCCATGCCATGCCATGCCATGCCATGCCATGCCATGCCACGCCATGCCATGCCATGCCACGCCACGCCATGCCATGCCACGCCACGCCATGCCATGCCACTCCATGACACCATCACATGCCATGCCATGGATCCACAACGATAGCCCACCAAGAATCAGATCCACCATCGCAGGTCATGCATCCCAGAACAACAATTCGAGATCAGCCATAACATACCAAACGCACATGAGGATCCGTTAAAAATCCGTTACAAAGACCTGCCAACACTAACGACAATCGATTTCATTTCTATGTGCAATACGCTGAGCCTGGGCAAAACAGTCATGCCCATATTGCCTAAACACGCACCCGCGCATAGTCGTCATAGCCATAGCGGCTCCCCCGCTCGTCGTCATATCGCCCGCCATACCCCTGCCTCATACCCTTCGCCATACCCCTTTTGATTTCTCAAAAGTGACTCCAAAACGCACCCGTGCATAATCGTCATAGCCATATCGGCTGCCCCTCTCATCGACATACCCCCCCCCCATACCCCTGTCCCTGGCCTCCCCCATCATAACCATAACATCTCACAAACGCACCCGAGCATAGTCGTCATAGCCATATCGGCTGCCCCGCTCGTCGTCATATCGCCCGCCATACCCCTGCCCCTGGCTTCCCCCGTCGCTCCGCTGGTCCTGCAACTGGGGCGCGCGATGGTCGTACCCGGGGGGCTGGGGAAGCGGGGAGCGGAGAAAGCGGGAACGGGGATCCGGGGGGGTGGGAAGAGCGCGCGCAAGGGGAACGGGATATGACGGGGTTGGAAGGGAGTTCGGAGAAACGGGGAAACCCGGGAGTGGGGGAGTGGAATGAGAATTTTGATGCGAGACATGGGGAAAAGGAGGAGGGGAGGGGAAGCGGAAAGGGGGGGAAGAGAGGAAGGGGGATGGAGGAGGAAGGGGGGGTTGGGGAGCTGGGGGGAGTGGGGAGGTGATAACACGGCAGTATTGCCCGATACGTAACGCCGGTACGTAACCAGGGACTACGTACCGCAGTACTGGACCATTTGAGCCACCAGGGCGATTCATCTTGCATGCCGCCATTGAAGCGGTACGTACGGCCGACGCCCTCGTCCATGTCGTCTTGTGGTAACGGCGCGTGCTGATGCTCCAACGCACTCATCACAAACCTGCGAGCACGGGAGAGGGGGAGGGGGAAGAGACTTTTGAGTCGACTCAAAGTGGAAGCAGTACGTACGATCAACACCCTCGTCCATGTCATCTTGCGGTAACGGCGCGTGCTGATGCTCCAACGCACTCATCACAAACCTGCGAGCACGGGAGAGGAGGGAGAGGAGTGAGAGAGAAAGAGCAGTACGGTTTTTAGAAGGGTATGGATGCACGGCATGGAAAGAGGGACCAGACGGAGCGCCCGACGAGTGACGAGAAATTTGAACGATCGGACCAAGCGACCACTGAAGAGAGCGTTTACTACACGGATAAAGACGATACGCATGCTGCCTACGTGGCCTATTGAACGCCACATCTCACAACCGCGTGTTTTGTAACGCATTTTGCAATAACGCGTGGCATTTATTACTAACAAAACACATGTCAACTGATATTCGAGTATTCTATAATCTATTATTAAATTCATCACTGGTCAAGTTCGCTAAAGGTCCGTTCTTTGTCATGACTGCGGGACGACAACAGGATAACCTCACACCTATAGACGCGTCAATGAAAACTCAGCAGACCGATTTGTCTCTACATGTAATCTGATGGACAGTTAAATCATGCGTGTACACTAATCATGAAACGTTTTTTTTTTACCATGATATGACATTGCCGATCACCTCGTCCGCTGGGACGTTTTTGAGTCGACTCAAAACTGATAATCAAATTATATCTCGCGCCTCTGATCAAGGAAACGCATACCTTCGGAACCATGACGTGACATTGCCGACCACTTCGTCTACTTGCTCCATCTTCGCTGAACTAGCGAAACGAATCAATGGCGCGATAAATTACTATAATCTAATACTCCGCGTCGAACTGGATCGGTAAAATCCTCCAAGGCTATAGCTTGCAGTGTCTAAGCGAAGCTCTAGAAGAAAAAGAGGGCATATTGCGGATCAGAATGGGCCTGAGGCCAGAAGCTTCAGAACCGGATTGCTCACACATTCTAGGCCTGACTCAGTAAATGCACGCATATCCAATGCTAGAACTCTATTGTGCCCTTATTCCGTCCTCCTAAGCTTCACGATCTAAACCTGCATTATAGGCAGCAGCCTCACTAGTCTAAGGAAATCTTGAAATAAAACGCCCTGCAGAAAGAAAATGGCCCTGGATTCCAAGCTAAGAAATTCCACCAACTTCCAAGCTAAGAAATTCCACCAGCTCCTCCCAACCAACCAATCCGGCCCACTAGGCAACTGCCCCAGCCCTTGGAGTACGGGCAGTGTTCTCGCACCTCACACCTGCCCCTGGGCGGTTTGGCGCGGTTTGCACAGGCGGAGAGCGCAGAAAGCGAGCGCAGAGACGGGCGCAGGTCTGCGCGGAATTTGTAGGTTTGCTTTGCTGGAGACTCCAAGTTGAGGTGCGCGTGTACACTGAAGCGGATAGTGCGGAGGCTGGGTTGTTTCGGGAGTAGGCGGATGTTTGGCGGAAAAGCGGGCAGGTGATTGCGAAGGTGTGCGACTGGCGCTTCTAGCGCAGCGAATTTCTTGAGGGGTACGACCTGGATGTTTGATGTGCTTTCCAGCCGCCAGTTCGTGAGCGACAACGTCGGCCCTCAAGGTCGTCATATCCTCCTCTTTGACCGTTTCGTTCCCATGTGATCTAGAGAAAGCTTTCAACTCTATAAGATAAATGAAGAAACTTAGGCCTTGCATCAGCCCTTATCCCTTTGTCGTGTCCAACATCCAAACCCAGGATGCAAATGAAATGGTACAGAGATCTCTACAGTGAATCCTATACTACTTGCTTATACGAGGGATGCAACATGGTCCAATCCAATCACATATATCACATGCATTGCGCATTCAGTTGGTACCACAACTGGTAACGTCGTAAAGCACATCTATGGAGTGACACGAGAGCAGAACTGGAGAGGAGTGAAAGAAAGAATTGTATGTTAAGAACTCACTGCGTTTCACATACACTCATTGGATGTGTAGATCACATGAAAGGGCACTTGTTCTGCCCCACTCCCCTCCCCTCCGCCAAAAGCAGCGAATCTTGATACACCAAAAATTCCTTCCTTTCCCAGCAACAGTGTATCACATGAGAGAGCAGTCACTCTGCGTTGACCCACCCCTGCGCTGCCCCCTGCCCTGAGGGGTTGGCGGGGAGGAAGTGGTGTGTTGCGGTGTGGTGCGGCGCGAGGGGGATCTTGGTTGGGTGCTACCCTGCTGGGTGAAGGTTGGGGGGTTGGGGAAAAGGAGGGGACCGGGGAAGGAGGAGAGAAAGAAGAAAGAGGGAGAGGGGGATTGAGGGAGGGAGGGGAGGAGGGAGGGAGGGGGGGGAAGAGGAGGGAGGGAGGGAGAGGAAGGGAGGGAGGGAGGGGAATAGGGTCTGAACCAGGGAAGAAGCATGGGAAGCAAGGGGAAGACTGTAGCAGCGGTGTGCAGAGGTGTAAGTGAAAGACCGCTCTTTCCTCCCATACATGATCCCAATTTAGCCACATACTCCTCACACCTGTCGTCCCACTCCCCTCTTCTCCCGCTCCCCTCCCTCCTCCCTGACCCGCCTCCCCCTTCCCACTCCTCAAAACCCACGACTCCCACATGACGTACAAATATGAGCCCAGTCGCTGCTTCCCACGTGCTGCCCCACCCACTGTGTGTGATGAGGCGATTTGTGTCAACTCAAGAATCGCTTTTCCCCTCACCCCACGACTCCCACATGTCTTACAAATATGAGCCCAGTCGCTGCTTCCCACGTGCTGCCCCATCCACTGCTGCTCTCCCTCCCACCACCACCACCGTCGCTCCTCACTCCTGATACACCTCTCCCCTCTCCCCTGCCCCCCCCGCCCCCTCCCCCTCCCTCTCCCCCCTAAATGATGCACATCTATCGGCCCTCCTGACCCTCCCACTGCTCCCTCCCGCCCCCACGCCCCTCCCCCACTTCCCCCTTCACTGCGCACCTGCCGTACTCCCCCTGATCTCCCCCCCCTGCCTCCGCCCCTCCCCCTCCCCCCTGCCTGCTGCCGCTCTGCTGCCTCCACCTCCTGCTGCTGCAGCATCAGGGCGAGTTGAAGGTCGGAACTGGTGCAAGGGGAGGAGAAGTAGCAGGAGAAGGGAACAGGGCATAAGGGGATGAGACAAGAAACATTCTTCACACATCCTCTCCCCCCTGCCTGCTGCCTCTACCTCCTGCTGCTGTGACGTCAGAGCCAGTTGAAGATCCGAAAGGGGAGGCGAAGCAACAGGAGAAAAGATGAGAGGAATCACACAGAGAACTAGCAGGAGAAGGGGAAGAGGGCGTCCGGGAAAAAAAACAACAAAATTTTTTGGTTTTCACAGACCCCCTCCCTCTGCTTCCCCCATGCCGGCAGCTGCCCTTCCTCCACGCAAAGCAAGCTAAAATTTAAAGCTGGCATGGCAGCATGGAATATGCATGATTGAGTGCTTGTGGGGTGTGGTATGCGTGATACGTGAGGCGTGTGTGGGATGACTCACTGTGAAACGTCGATGCCTGGCTGAACCGTGGATGCAGCACAGGTGTGTGCCTGAGTAACTGTGCGGCGTGGTGTGGTGTGGTGTGGTTTGGTGTGGTGCGGTGTGGAACGTGTGAGGTTAGAAGAGTGCGTTGAGAGACTCACTGGTATGCGTCCATGCCTGGGACGAGCTCCTCCACCTCTACGCTTCTTGGAGGGGTGAATGCAGCACATATGTGTGAGGCCTAGAGCGGTGAATGCAGCACATATGTGTGAGGCCTAGAGCGGTGAATGCAGCACATATGTGTGAAGCCTAGAGCGGTGAATGCAGCACATATGTGTGAGGCCTAGAGCGGTGAATGCAGCACATATGTGTGAGGCCTAGAGCGGTGAATGCAGCACATATGTGTGAGGCCTAGAGCGGTGAATGCAGCACATATGTGTGAGGCCTAGAGCGGTGAATGCAGCACATATGTGTGAGGCCTAGAGCGGTGAATGCAGCACATATGTGTGAGGCCTAGAGCGGTGAATGCAGCACATATGTGTGAGGCCTAGAGTGGTGAATGCAGCACATATGTGTGACGCCTAGAGCGGTGAATGCAGCACATATGTGTGAGGCCTAGAACGGTGAATGCAGCACATATGTGTGAGGCCTAGAGCGGTGAATGCAGCACATATGTGTGAGGCCTAGAGCGGTGAATGCAGCACATATGTGTGAGGCCTAGAGCGGTGAATGCAGCACATATGTGTGAGGCTTAGAGCGGTGAATGCAGCACATATGTGTGAGGCCTAGAGCGGTGAATGCAGCACATATGTGTGAGGCCTGGAGCGGTGAATGCAGCACATATGTGTGAGGCCTAGCGCGAGGCCAAAGGTGTGAGGCCGAGGGTGTGAGGTGTGGGTTGAGAGACTCACTGGTATGCGTCCATGCCTGGTACGAGCTCCAGTCCTTCCAAGCTCGGAGGTACAGTGAATGCAGCACAGATGTGTGACTCTTGCAAGGCCTCAGGTCTGAGGTGTGAGCTCAGCCCTACCGTGTGAGGCCTACGGTGCCGGTTGAGAGGCTCAATGGTATGCAGCAGACGGAGCGGTGAATGCAGCAAAGGTGTGAGGCCGAGGGTGTGAGGTGTGGGTTGAGAGACTCACTGGCATGCGACCATGCCTGGTACGAGCTCCAATCCTTCCAAGACCTTCAAAGCAAGGCCTAGGTATGTGTGCCTGCATGGTGTGGTGAGAGTGAGGCCTACGGTGTGAGGTGTGGGTTGAGAGACTCACTGGTATGCGTCCATGCCTGGTACGAGCTCCAGTCCTTCCAAGCTCGGAGGTACAGTGAATGCAGCACAGATGTGTGACTCTTGCAAGGCCTCAGGTCTGAGGTGTGAGCTCAGCCCTACCGTGTGAGGCCTACAGTGCCGGTTGAGAGGCTCAATGGTATGCAGCAGACGGAGCGGTGAATGCAGCAAAGGTGTGAGGCCGAGGGTGTGAGGTGCGGGTTGAGAGACTCACTGGCATGCGTCCATGCCTGGTACGAGCTCCAGTCCTTCCAAGCTCGGAGGTACAGTGAATGCAGCACAGATGTGTGACTCTTGCAAGGCCTCAGGTCTGAGGTGTGAGCTCAGCCCTACCGTGTGAGGCCTACAGTGCCGGTTGAGAGGCTCAATGGTATGCAGCAGACAGAGCGGTGAATGCAGCAAAGGTGTGAGGCCGAGGGTGTGAGGTGTGGGTTGAGAGACTCACTGGCATGCGACCATGCCTGGTACGAGCTCCAATCCTTCCAAGACCTTCAAAGCAAGGCCTAGGTATGTGTGCCTGCATGGTGTGGTGAGAGTGAGGCCTACGGTGTGAGGTGTGGGTTGAGAGACTCACTGGTATGCGTCCATGCCTGGTACGAGCTCCAGTCCTTCCAAGCTCGGAGGTACAGTGAATGCAGCACAGATGTGTGACTCTTGCAAGGCCTCAGGTCTGAGGTGTGAGCTCAGCCCTACCGTGTGAGGCCTACAGTGCCGGTTGAGAGGCTCAATGGTATGCAGCAGACGGAGCGGTGAATGCAGCAAAGGTGTGAGGCCGAGGGTGTGAGGTGCGGGTTGAGAGACTCACTGGTATGCGTCCATGCCTGGTACGAGCTCCAGTCCTTCCAAGCTCGGAGGTACAGTGAATGCAGCACAGATGTGTGACTCTTGCAAGGCCTCAGGTCTGAGGTGTGAGCTCAGCCCTACCGTGTGAGGCCTACAGTGCCGGTTGAGAGGCTCAATGGTATGCAGCAGACAGAGCGGTGAATGCAGCAAAGGTGTGAGGCCGAGGGTGTGAGGTGTGGGTTGAGAGACTCACTGGCATGCGACCATGCCTGGTACGAGCTCCAATCCTTCCAAGACCTTCAAAGCAAGGCCTAGGTATGTGTGCCTGCATGGTGTGGTGAGAGTGAGGCCTACGGTGTGAGGTGTGGGTTGAGAGACTCACTGGTATGCGTCCATGCCTGGTACGAGCTCCAGTCCTTCCAAGCTCGGAGGTACAGTGAATGCAGCACAGATGTGTGACTCTTGCAAGGCCTCAGGTCTGAGGTGTGAGCTCAGCCCTACCGTGTGAGGCCTACAGTGCCGGTTGAGAGGCTCAATGGTATGCAGCAGACGGAGCGGTGAATGCAGCAAAGGTGTGAGGCCGAGGGTGTGAGGTGCGGGTTGAGAGACTCACTGGTATGCGTCCATGCCTGGTACGAGCTCCAGTCCTTCCAAGCTCGGAGGTACAGTGAATGCAGCACAGATGTGTGACTCTTGCAAGGCCTCAGGTCTGAGGTGTGAGCTCAGCCCTACCGTGTGAGGCCTACAGTGCCGGTTGAGAGGCTCAATGGTATGCAGCAGACAGAGCGGTGAATGCAGCAAAGGTGTGAGGCCGAGGGTGTGAGGTGTGGGTTGAGAGACTCACTGGCATGCGACCATGCCTGGTACGAGCTCCAATCCTTCCAAGACCTTCAAAGCAAGGCCTAGGTATGTGTGCCTGCATGGTGTGGTGAGAGTGAGGCCTACGGTGTGAGGTGTGGGTTGAGAGACTCACTGGTATGCGTCCATGCCTGGTACGAGCTCCAGTCCTTCCAAGCTCGGAGGTACAGTGAATGCAGCACAGATGTGTGACTCTTGCAAGGCCTCAGGTCTGAGGTGTGAGCTCAGCCCTACCGTGTGAGGCCTACGGTGCCGGTTGAGAGGCTCAATGGTATGCAGCAGACGGAGCGGTGAATGCAGCAAAGGTGTGAGGCCGAGGGTGTGAGGTGTGGGTTGAGAGACTCACTGGCATGCGACCATGCCTGGTATGAGCTCCAATCCTTCCAAGACCTTCAAAGCAAGGCCTAGGTATGTGTGCCTGCATGGTGTGGTGAGAGTGAGGCCTACGGTGTGAGGTGTGGGTTGAGAGACTCACTGGTATGCGTCCATGCCTGGTACGAGCTCCAGTCCTTCCAAGCTCGGAGGTACAGTGAATGCAGCACAGATGTGTGACTCTTGCAAGGCCTCAGGTCTGAGGTGTGAGCTCAGCCCTACCGTGTGAGGCCTACAGTGCCGGTTGAGAGGCTCAATGGTATGCAGCAGACGGAGCGGTGAATGAAGCAAAGGTGTGAGGCCGAGGGTGTGAGGTGCAGGTTGAGAGACTCACTGGTATGCGTCCATGCCTGGTACGAGCTCCAGTCCTTCCAAGCTCGGAGGTACAGTGAATGCAGCACAGATGTGTGACTCTTGCAAGGCCTCAGGTCTGAGGTGTGAGCTCAGCCCTACCGTGTGAGGCCTACAGTGCCGGTTGAGAGGCTCAATGGTATGCAGCAGACAGAGCGGTGAATGCAGCAAAGGTGTGAGGCCGAGGGTGTGAGGTGTGGGTTGAGAGACTCACTGGCATGCGACCATGCCTGGTACGAGCTCCAATCCTTCCAAGACCTTCAAAGCAAGGCCTAGGTATGTGTGCCTGCATGGTGTGGTGAGAGTGAGGCCTACGGTGTGAGGTGTGGGTTGAGAGACTCACTGGTATGCGTCCATGCCTGGTACGAGCTCCAGTCCTTCCAAGCTCGGAGGTACAGTGAATGCAGCACAGATGTGTGACTCTTGCAAGGCCTCAGGTCTGAGGTGTGAGCTCAGCCCTACCGTGTGAGGCCTACAGTGCCGGTTGAGAGGCTCAATGGTATGCAGCAGACGGAGCGGTGAATGCAGCAAAGGTGTGAGGCCGAGGGTGTGAGGTGCGGGTTGAGAGACTCACTGGTATGCGTCCATGCCTGGCACGAGCTCCAGTCCTTCCAAGACTTTTGAGTCGACTCAAAAGTCACCTCTCCACGGTGTGGGATGAGAGCCTCACTGGTATGCGCCCATGCCTGGCACCAGCTCCAATCCTTCCATGTTTGGTGGTAGAGTGAATGAAGCATAGATGTGCGTGCTATGAGGTGTGTGCTCAGCCCTACGGTGTGGGATGAGAGACTCACTGGTATGCGTCCATGCCTGGGACGAGCTCCAATCCTTCCATGCCCTGAAAGGAGAAGCAGGCAGAGGGAGAGACAAACACACGGAGAGCAGGGGGGAATTCATTCAAGATTCTTTTCAGACTACCCCACGGGCTAGTGTGTCAGTGAGGGCGTTGGGTGGCTCGCATGGGTTGCACTTTTGAGTCGACTCAAAAGCACACGGAGAGCAGGGGGGAAGTCATTCAGGATTGTCTTCAGACTACCCCACGGGCTAGTGTGTCAGTCAGGGCGTTGGGTGGCTCGCATGGGTTGCACTTTTGAGTCGACTCAAAAGCACACGGAGAGCAGGGGGGAAGTCATTCAGGATTCTTTTCAGACTATCCCATGGGCTAGTGTGTCAGTCAGGGCGTTGGGTGGCTCGCATGGGTTGCACGAGCTCCAATCCTTCCCTGCCCTGACAGTAGAAGCACGCAGAATGAGAGGCATGCAGAAAAGGAGTGAAAGGCAGAAGGAAGGGAAGTATACGAATTACGAATGACAAGCCAAGAAGGAAGCTACAAGCTATTACTCACAGCAGCGGCGGCAGCAGCGATGGCAGCATCATCTTCATGCGTCCACTGTGCAGCAGCAGCGCTGTCATGACTCAGGGCCAGCGACGGTGGAGGAGCAAAGGGAGTGAAGTCCCCCTCACAGAGCGTGGTGTCTCCCTCCACCTGCTCCAAGGCATACTCACAGCAACAGCTGCTCATACTCACGGTCCCACACCTGCCCCAAGCCATACTCACAGCAGCGGCAGCGGCGGCAATGGCAGCATCGTCCTCATGCGTCCACTGCCCAGCAACCCCCTCGGCCCCGTGAGCCAGGGCCAGAGATGGCGGAGGAGCAAAGGGAGTGAAGTCCCCCTCACAGAGCGTGTTGTCTCCCTCCACCTGCCCCAGCCTCTCCCACACCACGCCTGGTTGGTTCAGATAGCCCTGATCGGTGACCAGCAGGTAGATGTGGTTGGTGCGCTGGGGGTGGGGAGAGGGAGGGACGGAAGGGAAGGGAGGGAAGGAAGCTAAGGGAGCGTGGTGCCGCCCTCCACCTGCCCCAGCCTCTCCCACACCACGCCTGGTTGGTTCAGATAGCCTTGATCCGTGACGAGTAGGTAGATGTGGTTGGTGCGCTGGTAGCAGGGGAGGGAAGAGCGCAAAGGGAGTACAGGGAGTAAAGACAGCTGCACAGGTCGAAATCTGAGGCTCCATAAACGACAAAATCCGCCTCTAAAGGCGAAGTCCCCCTCACAGAGCGTGGTGTCTCCCTCCACCTGCCCCAGCCTCTCCCACACGACGCCTGGCTGGTTCAGATAGCCCTGATCGGTGACGAGTAGGTATATGTGGTTGGTGCGCTGAGGGTGGGGAGAGGGAGGGACGGGTCACGGAAGGAAGTGGGGCAAGGGAGGAAGAGAGTGAGTTTTCCCCCTCCACCTGCCCCAGCCTCTCCCACACGACACCTGGTTGGTTGAGGTAGCCTTGATCGGTGACGAGTAGGTAGATGTGGTTGGTGCGCTGAGGACAGGGAGAGGGAGGGACAAAAGGAGGAAGCTAAGGGAGTGAGGTGTCGCCCTCCACCTGCCCCAGCCTCTCCCACACGACACCCGGCTGGTTGAGGTAGCCCTGATCCGTCACCAGCAGGTAGATGTGGTTGGTGCGCTGGGGGTAACAAGGGTGGCAGGGTGGGGAAGGGAGAGTGAGTTGTCTCCCTCCACCTGCCCCGGCCTCTCCCACACAACGCCCGGCTGGTTCAGATAGCCCTGATCGGTGACCAGCAGGTAGATGTGGTTGGTACGCTGTGGGTGGGGAGAGGGAGGGACAGGTCACGGAAGGAAGTGGGGCAAGGGAGGCAAGGGAGTGATTTTTCCCCCTCCACCTGCCCCAGCCTCCCCCACACGACGCCGGGTTAGATGTGGTTGGTGCTCTGGGGGTCATGGCAGGGAGAAGGCGGGGATTGAAGGTAGGAAGGGAGTGAGTTGTCTCATCCCACCTCTCCCACACGACGCCGGGTTGGTTGAGATGGCCCTGATCCGTCACCAGCAGGTAGATGTGGCTGGTACACTGGGGGTGATTGGAGGAAAGGAGGGATTACCGTGAAAGGAGGGAAGAGAGGGGTGAAGGGAGTGGATTTGACTTGGCTGGTTGAGGTAGCCCTGATCTGTCACTAGCAGGTATATGTGGTTGGTGCGCTGAGGACAAGGGGAGGGGGGAGAGGGGAGCATGTGGAAAGGGAGGTGGGAGAAAGGGATGAGGCAGAGGGATGAGCAGTGCTTCAGAGAATAAAAGGGAGGTAATATGAAAACATATTATGAGGCACCTCAAGAGAAGATGGAAGAGGTATTGTGAAAGCAAATACTTGAAGGAGGCAAGGGCGGCAGTGAAAGAGGTGTGGTGGAGCGAATTCACCTTAAACTAATTCTTATATTTGTTCACCTTATATATGTACCCCCCAACCACCGAATATCACCTTAAAAGAGAGTGCTGAATTGGTTGTTGCGGAAGAAAACGCAGAGCCCTGAGACGGCTTTGTGAGTGTACCTGTGAGCTTTATAAGTGAAAAGAGTCACCTTAAAGAGAGTGCTGAAATGATTATTGCGGAAGAACACGCAGAGCTGATTCTCCTTCACTCCCTCCTGTAGGCTGAAGAGGCTGGTGTGATGGGGACAAGGGAGGGGCGTGGTGGTGGTGCATATGGGAAGACACGTGGTGAAGCAAAGGAAATGCATAAGGGAACATTCATTCGACGGATTGACGAGAGGAATCCGGGATTTGACAGTGGTTGACGGAATGAGGAGAAAGCGAAGATAAGATTGAGGGGATGATGTAATAGGAAGGTGAGGAAGACAACAAGGATGAGGAGGAATGAAGAAATGTAGTCGAAACGAGAGGGAAGAGGCGAAAGGGAAGAGAACTTGTTTTGAGTCGACTCAAAACAGCGCGTGTAATGAGTCGAGTTTTGAGTCGACTCAAATCAGGAATCAAGAAATGTAGTCGAAACAAGAGGGAAGAGGCGAATGGGAAGAGAACTTTTGAGAATTCTCGAAAGTCGCACTAATGAGGAGGAATCAAGAGATGTAGTCGAAACGAGAGGAAAGAGGCGAACGGGAAAAGAACCCTCGCCTTACCCGTGCTGACTTTTGAGTCGACTCAAAAGGTGAGGAAGACGACAAGGATGAGGAGGAATCAAGAAATGTAGTTGAAACGAGAGGAAAGAGGCGATAGAGAAGAGAACTTTCGCCTTACCCGTGGTAAGTGAGCTGGCTGGCTGTGTCGTTGAGAAACGTGAAGAGCAGCAGAGCTGATAAGGCGGCGCCTTGAACATACTCAAGAGTCACCTTGTTACTCCAATGTCAAGAGTGTAACGCACCCGTGGTAGGTGAGCTGGCTGGCTGTGTCGTTGAGAAACGTGAAGAGCAGCAGAGCTGACGGTAGGGGAACGGACACAGATGGCAGAGAGGGGAATGTGGAGAATGGAAGAATGGGGTGAGCAGGACGAATGGGGTGAGCAGGATAGATTGAAAGCAGCAAAAAAACAAGAGCAAAAATATTATTATGCGTGTACTTTTAAGTCGTTTAGAAAAGCACACTTGGTTAGGACCTAACTCACTGAAGGACCACTTGAGAATTCTTCTGACCCCACACCTAACTCACCTTCCCGCACATCATCCCGCATTTGTGTTTTGAGTCGACGCAAAACAGGACCACTTGAGAATTCTTAAGACCCCGCACATAACTCACCTTCCCGCACATCATCCCGCATCTCCCCTCCCCCTGCCTGCTCCCCCCCTCCTACTGCCAGTGCAGCTCCCCCTTCGCTCCTCCCCGCTCCATCCCCACTCCCGCACACCTCCCCTTCCCTCTGCTCTCCCTTCCCTCCATCTTCCCTTCTCCCTTGCTCCTTCCCTCTGCCCCCCTCTTCCCTCCTCACTTGCTCCTCCTGGCTTCTAACCTTCTCTTCAGCAGGCCTTTCTGGAGCAGAAGCAGCCTCACCCCCCTGCCTCGTCTCTGCACCACTCTCTACCCCCTCCAACCCCTCACCACCCTTCTGTCTTCTCTCTACACTTTCTCCCTCTGTATCCCTCTCACACTCCGCCCCGCTTGTTTCTTCTGCAGCAGCACAGGCTCGGGCAGCCGAGGCAGAAAGAGGCTCGGAGGATGTACGAGGCTCGGAAACCGATGCAGGCTCGGATGCAGGAACAGGCTCGGAAGCTGGATGAGGCTCAGAAACCAGTGACGGATCGGAAAGTGGTAAAGGTTCGGAAAGGAGAAGGGCTGCAAGGGACTCAGCCAGGGCTGCTGCTGTCACTTCCCCCTCCCCCTCCCCCTCATTCACTGCATCTCCTTCATCTCCTAGGACTGTTTCCCCCTCCCTTTTTTCTTTCCCCGCCATTGTTTTCCCCCCACCCTCCTGCCCACCACTCCCTGCTTTTCCCACATCCCCTCCTTCCCCAGACCCACTTCCCACTCTTCTTTCTCCTAGTCCCTCCCCACCACCTACTCCCCCAACTCCCCCTTCCCCGCTTCCCCCTCCTCCTCCTCCTCCCCCTCCCCCTCCCCCTCCCCCTCCCCCGCCCAGCAGAGCAGCAGCAAGGTCGGGGTGGGAGGCCTGCAGGGCGACGAGGCGCTCCACGATGCTGTTGTAAGAGAGAGACCCCACCGCTGCTGCTGTGGCCGAGTCCTGGGGTAAGGGGTTTAGGGTTTGGGGATTAAGGGTAGAGGATTAGAGTTCGGGGTGGGAGGCCTGCAGGGCGACTAGGCGCTCCACGATGCTGTTGTAGGAGAGGGAGCCCACCGCTGCTGCTGTGGCTGAATCCTGTTTTGAGAGGGGGTTTCAGCACTTATGAGGCCTGCCGGGCGACGAGGCGCTCCACGATGCTGTTGTAGGAGAGGGACCCCACCGCTGTTGCTGTGGCCGAGTCCTGGGATACGGGGATTACGAGGGGTTGAGAGGAGGGTTTGATGCGCTTCAGAGGCCTGCAGGGCGACTAGGCGCTCCTTGATGCAGCTGTAGGAAAGAGAGCCCACCGCTGCTGCTGTCGCTGAATCCTGCATGGGGTTTACAGGGTTCAAGGTTTAGGATTTGGGGCTTGAGGGTAGAGAATAAGAGGTCGGGGTGGGAGGCCTGCAGGCAGCAAGGTGCCCCTCGATGCTGCTGTACGAGAGGGAGCCCACCGCTTCTGCTGTGGCCGAGTCCTGCACGGGGTTTACAGGGTTCAGGGTTTGGGATTTGGGGCTTGGGGGTAGAGGATAGGAGGTCGGGGTGGGAGGCCTGCAGGGCAGCAAGGTGCCCCTTGATGCAGCTGTAGGAAAGAGAGCCCACCGCTGCTGCTGTCGCTGAATCCTGCATGGGGTTCACAGGGTTCAGGGTTTGGGGCATCTACCAGCCAGCCATGCACGAGGCTGATGTCCAGCAGGTCGAAGATGGCAGCATGCTGTACCATGCTCTACCGTGCCGTACCGTGCTGTACCGTGCTGTACCGTGCTGTACCGTGCTGTACCGTGCTCTATCATGCTCACCTGCGAGTCCACCAGCCAGCCATGCACGAGGCTGATGTCCAGCAGGTCAAAGATTGCTGTCTCTGGCGTGAACTCAAAGGCATGAATGCTGATGCATGGGGATGGGGGGGGGGAACAAGCAAGGAAAGAGGAGGAGGGGAGAAGGCTGATGTCCAGCAGGTCAAAGATTGCTGTCTCTGGCGTGAACTCAAACGCGTGGATGCTGGGATCGGGGAGAGGATGAGGGATGGGGATATGAACATGCAAGGAGATGGGGAACGAAGAGGGGGAGGGGAGGGGAAGGCTGATGTCCAGCAGGTCAAAGATGGCTGTTTCTGGCGTGAACTCAAACGCGTGGATGCTGGGATGGGGATGGGGATGGGAATCAGAACACACAACGAAATGGGGGAGGGGGGCAGAAGGGGGGAGGAAGCGGAAGGCTGATGTCCAGCAGGTCAAAGATTGCTGTTTCTGGCGTGAACTCAAACGCATGGATGCTGATGCATGGGGATGGGTGAGGGGATGGGGATGGGAACACGCAAGGAGACGGGGAACAAGGAGGGGGAGGGGAAAAGGGAAGGCTGATGTCCAGCAGGTCAAAGATTGCTGTTTCCGGCGTGAACTCAAACGCGTGGATGCTGGGAAGGGGATGGGCGGGGTGGGGACAAGCAAGGAAAGAGGAGGAGGGGAGAGGCTGATGTCCAGCAGGTGGAAGATGGCTGTTTCTGGCTTGAACTCAAACGCGTGGATGCTGACGGCATGGGGATGGGTAGGGGGAAGGGGATGGACGGGTGGGGGGACATGCAAGGAGAGGGAAGGGAAGGAGGGGGAAGGCTAATGTCCAGCAGGTGGAAGACAGCTGTTTCTGGCTTGAACTCAAACGCGTGGATGCTGATGCATGGGGATGGGGAGGGGGGAGGGGAGGGAGCGAGGGAGGGGGAGGGGGATGGGATAGGTGCACGCAAGGAGAGTGGGGAGTGGGGAAGGCTGATGTCACTGAACTCAGCTCATCCTGAAAATCCTTACCTCACACACGAAAGGAGTCGCACTCATACCCTGTGAACCGCACTCAACCGCCGTATGCACCCCAGCTCACCCTGAGCATCGCACTGCATGCCCCATCTCACCCTGAGCACTTCATTGCACGCCCCGCATGCATCACCCCGTGCACCGCACTGCACCGCACTGCACGCCCCATATCACCCCGTGCACTGCACTGCACCGCACTGCACGCCCCATATCACCCCGTGCACTGCACTGCACCGCACTGCACGCCCCGTCTCACCCTGTGAAGCGCACGTTGACGTCAATCCCCGTGGCGAGGCGCGGCAGCAGAGCCATGCAGTCTGCCACGTTCTGCCGCCTGTTGCTCCCATACCCGGGGGAGCGGCCCTTTGCACCGCACTGCACGCCCTCTCTCACCCTGTGCACCGCACTTAACCGCACAGCACCACACTGCACGCTCCGTCTCACCCTGTGAAGCGCACGTTGACGTCAATCCCCGTGGCGAGGCGGGGCAGCAGAGCCATGCAGTCTGCCACGTTCTGCTGGCGGTTGGTCCCACCATACCCGGGAGAGCGGCCCTGTGCACCGCACTGCACCGCACTGAATGCCCCATCACACCCTGTGCACCGCACTGAATCTCACTGCACCGCACTGCACGCCCCAGCTTACCCTGTGAAGCGCACGTTGACGTCAATCCCCGTGGCAAGGCGCGGCAGCAGAGCCATGCAGTCCGCCACGTTCTGCTGCCGGTTGGTGATATACTCTGCTGAGCGGCCCTGAGAAAGGTAAAAGGAACGTGAGAGGCGGAGGGACAGTAAGAGCAGAGCCATGCAGTCCGCCACGTTCTGCTGCCGGTTGGTGATATACTCTGCTGAGCGGCCCTGAGAAAGGTAAAAGGAACGTGAGAGGCGGAGGGACAGTAAGAGCAGAGCCATGCAGTCCGCCACGTTCTGCTGCCGGTTGGTGATATACTCTGCTGAGCGGCCCTGAGAAAGGTAAAAGGAATGTGAGAGGCGGAGGGACAGTAAGAGCAGAGCCATGCAGTCCGCCACGTTCTGCTGCCTGTTGCTTATGTACTCTGCTGAGCGACCCTGAAGAGGTGAGAGGAAGGAAAGAAGGAAGGAAAGGAAGGTTGACGAGGGGTTGAATGGAGGAAAATGGGTGAGTCACGTTCATGCAGAGCCATGCAGTCCGCCACGTTCTGCTGCCTGTTGCTTATATGCTTGCTGAGCGACCCTGAGAAGGGTGGAAGGAAGGATGGATGCGAAAGGGAGGAGGAGCGAGTCACGTTCAAGTCAGCCATGCAGTCCGCCCCGTTCTGCTGCTGGTAGGATCCAATTTTGAGTGGACTCAAAGATTGAAAAACGCCATACTCTGTTGCACTTGTACTCTCCAGAGCGACCCTGAGAAGGGTGGAAGGAAGGATGGATGCGAAAGGGAGGAGGAGCGAGTCACGTTCAAGTCAGCCATGCAGTCCGCCCCGTTCTGCTGCTGGTAGGATCCAATTCTGAGGATCCAATCCACGTTCTGAGTGCACGTTCTGAGAAATGCCAGACTCTCCTGTCTCACCTCTTCCCCTCTTCCCCCTCCCCGTCCCCACCAATCCCCTTCTTTCCCTCCCTCCCCCTTCCACGCACCTCCATGCCTGTGTTGCTGTCCAGCAGTAAGTGCGCCACCAGAGACAGCAGATCCGACTGGGAATGCTATGCTCTTCCCCCTCACCTCCCTCTTCCCCTTACCATTTCCCTCTCTTTCCTTCCCTTCCACGCTCGCACCTCCATGCCTGTGTTACTGTCAAGCAACCGGTGCGCCACCAGCGACAGCAGGTCCCACTGGGAATTGCCATGCTCTTCCCACTGGGAATTGCCATGCTCTTCCCACTGGGAATTGCCATGCTCTTCCCACTGGGAATTGCCATGCTCTTCCCACTGGGAATTGCCATGCTCTTCCCACTGGGAATTGCCATGCTCTTCCCACTGGGAATTGCCATGCTCTTCCCCTGCTGTTGTCCCCAATTCCCCTCTCCCTTTCCTCCCTGCCTTCCACGCACCTCCATGCATGTGTTACTATCCAGCAGCCGGTGCGCCACCAGAGACAGCAGGTCCGACTGGGAGGTGCCATGCTCTTCCCCTCACCTCTTCCCCACTATCCCTTCCCATTTCCCTGTCTTTCCTTCCTGTCCACGCACCTCCATCCCTGTATTGCTATCCAGCAGTCGGTGCGCCACCAGTGACAGCAGGTCCGACGGGGAATGCCATGCCCTCCCCCCACCCTTCGCCCCCACCTCCCCCTCCCACTTGCACGCACCTCCATCCCTGTATTGCTATCCAGCAGCCGGTGTGCCACCAGTGACAGCAGGTCCGACTGGGAGATCTCAGTAGCGCTGGGGCGGAGGGAGATGGCGTTGCGGAGCAGCAGCACGTTGGCTGAGAGGAAGGGAAGGAAGTGAGAGGGGAATATGGGATAGAAACACGTGCTCTGAGTTGACTCGAAAAAAGAGATCTCGGTAGCGCTGGGGCGGAGGGAGATGGCGTTGCGGAGCAGCAGCACGTTGGCTGTGAGGGGATGAAGTGAGGGAGGGAGGAAGTGAGGGGGGGAGGAAGTGAGGGGGGGATATAAAAACAAGGGGATTTCGCGTTAGGAAGTAGCAGCACAATGGCTTGAAGCGAGAGGGGAGTGAAGAGAGGGGGGTATAGCAGGTGTGAAGAGCTTGCCAGGGGAGGAGCATTGGGGGAGGGAAAGGGGGTGTGTATAGCAGCGGAAAGAAGAAAGGCGCTCACCATTTCTGAGGAGGGCTTTTGAGGCGTCTCAAAAGAAGTGCTTGCGAATGGCGAGGAGGATGGGGGAAGGGGAAGGGGGTGTATATAACAGGGATGAGGCGCTCCCCATTTCTGAGGAGGGCTTTTGAAACGTCTCAAAAGAAGTGCTTGCGAATGGAGAGGAGGATGGGGGAAAGGGAAGGGGGTGTATATTACAGGGATGAGGCGTTCACAAATTCCGAGGAGGGCTTTTGAAACGTCTCAAAGGAAGTGCTTGCGAACGGAGAGGAGGATGGGGGAAGGGGAAAGGGAGGGGGGGTGTAAATAACAGCAGTGAAGTGCTTCCAATGGAGAGGAGGATGGGGGAGGGGGGGTGTATATAGCAGCGGTGAAATGCTCACCAATGCCGAGGAGGGGGCACGGCCCGTTGTCGTTTTGCATGACGATGGGCACCTGCTGCCGCCCCAGGAACGACACGCGCTTTATCTTGTACCAGCTCTCCGCAGCCTCCCCTCCCCCGCTCTGCCCCTGCCCCTGACCCCCACCCGATTGCGTCTCTTTTCCTCCTCCCCCCTCCTCTCCGCCCCGCTCCGCCTCCCCTCGCCCCTGACTCTGCCCCTCATCCTGACCCTGCCCTCCTCCCTCTGCCTCCGCCAACGGCGGCGCAGCAGGCGCTGGAGGACTAGCAGACGGCGCTCGGGGACTGGCGGAAGGCGCTGGGGGAGTGGCGGAAGGATCTGAGGGAGTGGCGGAAGGATCTGGAGGAGTCGCGGAAGGTGCTGGGGGAGTGGCGGAAGGCGCTGACGGAGTGGCGGAAGCATCTGGGGGAGTGGCGGAAGCCGCTGGGGAAGAGGCGGAAGGATCAGGAGGAGTGGCGGAAGGCGCTGCTGGATTGGCGGAAGGATCTGAGGGAATGGCGGAAGGATCTGGGGGAGTGGCGGTTCCAGCGGAAGACTGTTGCGCTGTCATGGTCTCATGAGACGTCTCAACTGTCGCCACTGGGGAAGTGGGATCTGCAGCGGAGAATTGATGTGTAGCCATGGCCTCTGTGCCTCCGCAATGAACGGCTACAAACTCGCGGTGAAGCTAGACCCTCAAGTTCGTTAATAGGCGCCTCAAAAACAGGCCTCTGTGTCTCCGCAATGAACGGCTGCAGACTCACGGTGAAGCTAGACCCTCAAGGTCTGAGAAGTCTCAAAACCAGGCCGTTATGCTGAGACGTGAGAAGACACAGGAGGTCGCAACTGGTGACAAGATTCGCTACAATTTGTAACTAAAATTGTTACGCTCCGAATGACGACTACAAACGTCAGGCTCCAGAATTTCCTGATTCCGATCCGTACGATCATCAATCGGACGGTTTCGGGAGAGACGAAGAGACTAGCCAGCACCACCGCTGCTCATGCTTGCTCGTATGCAGCCATGAATGCCTGGACTATCAGACAACTTGTAATTTTTATCGTAAGTGCTTCTATATCAGGACTAAGATTATCGAGGAGTGCTTGCTGGAATGCGAGGAAGGAACGCGCAGCGGATGATACACCAGACAGAAGGAAGTATGAAGATTGAATGACAAGACAAGACAGCCGGACGCAATTCCCCAGGTTCTATACCAGGACTAAGATTATCAAGGAGGAGTGCTTGCTGGAATGCGAGGAAGGAACGCGCAGACGATGATGCACACGGAATAGAGTATGACGGACAGGCTGACGGAATTCCCCAGGTTGATTGGACGGAAAGCATGAAATTGAATCTCCGGCATTGGGAAGGGAATATCCGAGCTGAAACGTAGCAGTCAAATTCCAGTCACCCCCGGTCACGGAACAATCTAGGAACAATACACCCAAGGAACCTAAACCAAAGGAACCGAATTCGAAATCAAATAAACCGAGCGGAAAAGACTTCACATCCCTTTGATGCGACATCACCCAAATGATCCCCCACCCACGGATACGGTGACCGTGCCATCTGCTGCTGCTATGCCCAAAGGGCGGGTCATTCTCGTTCGTTTCAATGCAGCTCAATGAGATGTTTCACGTTTTACAGCGGTATAAATATTTTTAGAATGGTCGAAATGGGTATTAAGCAAAAAGGAAATGAAAATACCCGCCCTAATGCACCCTCACGATTCCCCGTGCCAAACCTTTTGGAACCGAGCATTTTCGGAAACCTACTCCCTGACGGCTTCCTAGTTCTGGAGAGAGCCTCTGTGTGTAACATAAGGACGCGTCCCCTGAAGCGGATCGATCGGCTGGAAGATCGGTTTTGCGCGTGGGGTGTAGAACTGTAGTGTCGTAATCAACAAGGTAACTAATCTCGTCAATGTTTACGAATGTACAGTGAACAAAGTTCCACGACCCTGTCACTTACGGGAGCCCCAATCGATGTAGCGAAGTGCACATATCGAGCGTGAGATTGCTTGGCGCGGTGTGGAATTTCGCGCCACGAGTGACAGTCAAAATCGATCTCCTTCGCTCGTCGTCGCATTGTTACTGCACGACGTCGCATACAGTGGATTTCCATGTGCGACTTTTACTCGCGACAACCTAGCTGTTGTCGCAGGTTGGGTGTACTGTACCTCAACCCCGAAACCTGCCTTACCGAGCCTGTCACCTGTATATCGGTGCGCCGTAGTTGCGCAGTCCTGGGCACCGATCTCTACCGAGCCTAGGCTCGAAGTGACGGTCGGTGCGGATCGGCCGATCTTCGGCCGAGCCGCTTCAGGGGACGCGTCCTAACACCGAAGGCGCAATATTTCCTCGCGGCCCAAGTCTAACCCTATGTGACGTTCCTAATTGCACCCTTTTTTTCTAAAACTGGCACAGTATATGTGAGCTTGCCCTAGTTGCGTAATCTCGGACGAGGAGTCGGGCGGCATAATTTTGTCTGCAGCGATGATGACATACGAGGCAAGCCTATTCGTCTCATTTGGCTCTGGTTTCGTTCCGCGTTGCCGTCCCTCCGTTAGATTGCTGTCCTTCCGTCAGGTTGCTGTAGCTCCGTCAGGTTGTTTTCCGTCAGGTTTGCTGTGTGACAGTGTAGGTGTGTCCCTTTCGTGTCATGTATTGCATGCACCAGGGCGGGAGGAGCAGCGCAAGGGGGCGATAGGGGAGGCCCTGACGCATTTGGCGGTGCTCCCAGCCAATGCTGTGCTCCTCTTGTGCTGCTTGCGGTGTGCTGCTTGCGGTGTGTCATTCTTGCTATGCACTTGGCATGGCAGGAGGAGCAGCGCAAGAGGGCGATAGGGGAGGCACTGACGCACACCTTGTTGCCGGCCAATCCAATCCAATCCAATTATGTGCTCAGACTGTGCTGCTCACGTTCTTTCTTGCTATGCACTTGCTGTGACTATGCTCGTATGGCAGGAGGAGCAGCGCAAGGGGGCGATAGTGGAGGCACTCACACACTTCTCGGTGCTCTCGGCCAATGCCATGGCGACAGGTGTCACCACCACGCGCATGCGCCTGCAGCTCATGAAAGTGCGTGCGCTATAGTCACAATGTCTGCCTGCGTTATCGTCACATCCCTGCCTGCGTTATTGTCACACCTCTGGTATCTCAATGACCTCATTTATGTCCACATCGCACTCACCTTGTCACACTCACCTCATCCCTTCCTCTCCATTCCGCTCCCCTCCACTCCCTCTCCCTCCCTCCACTTTCTCCCGCCCCTGTTCTCCTCACCACCAGAAGTACTCAGAATTGCGGGACTTCTGGTTGACAGAGGAGGATGTAAACCCATCAGCGCCTTTTTCCACCTCTTCCCACCTCATTCTGCCCTTTTTCCCTCTCGTCTCCCCCCTTCCCCTCCCCCTCCCCGTCTTCTCTCTCCCCACCACCAGAAATACTCAGAAGTGCAGGACTTTTGGTTGACAGAGGAGGATGTGAACCCATCAGCACCGCCTACAATCCATCCCGACCTGCTTCATTACATCGTCACACACGATCCCCGCCTCTCCCCCTCCCGCTCCACCCGCCCCTCCACCTCCTACCCCCCCAACGCCTCCTCCCCGCCCCTCTCCCCCTCCTCCTCCGCCTCCCCCCCCAACACTCCCCCCCCTCGCTCCCTCACTCACTCTCGCTCGCTGGCGGATGGGCGGACAAGGGGGAGGATGGAGGGAGAGGAGGGAGAAGTGGAAGTGGAAGGAGGAAGGGAAGAGGAGGAGGGAGGAAATGGAGGGGAGGAGGGAGGAGGAGAAGGGGAGGGGGATGTTGATGAGGGATTATCAGTGGTATCGGATATGGAAATAGATGGGATGGTAGTCGAGGGGGAGAGGAGGGGGATGGGGAGGGTGGAAGGTTGGGGGGAAGGGAGGATGAAGATGAGGAGGAAGAGGAGGCGATGGGATGGGGAGGTACAATCAGGCGATCACGGTCAAACCCGCTCATTTGAAGATCTTATCTCCCTTCAAGCAAGGGGCCTACGCCTACGATAAGGGGAGGCGATGGGGTGGGGAGGTACAATCAGGCGATCACGGTCAAACCCGCTCCTTTGAAGTTCCCGCAAGCAGTCTTACACGGGGAGGGTGTTACGGGGAGGAAGAGGAGGAGGAGGACGAGGAGGCGATGGGGTGGGGAGGTACAATCAGGTGATCACGATTGAACCCTCTCCTTTGAAGTTCTTTCTTCTCCTAGCTTCCTCTTCTGTGCTCTTACAGCGAAGGGCCTACACCTACTCGTACATCAGGCGATGGGGTGGGTGGGGCGGTGCAATCAGGCGATGGGGTGGGTGGGGCGGTGCAATCAGGCGATGGGGTGGGTGGGGCGGTGCAATCAGGCGAGGGGCGGTGCAATCAGGCGATGGGGTTGGGTGGGGTGGTGCAATCAGGCAAGGGGTGGGTGGGGCGGTGCAATCAGGCAACTCTCGGTCAAACCCGCTCCCTCGAAGTCCAACTTTCTTCCCTTCAGGCCTCTAGTTTGAGGTGGCCTCGGGAATAAGAGGAGGAGAAGGGGATGGGGTCGGATGGTACGGTACCATCAGGCGACGCGATCAAGGCCAGGCGACGCGATCAAGGCCAGGCGACGTGATCAAGGCCAGGCGACGCGATCAAGGCCAGGCGACGCGATCAAGACCAGGCGACGCGATCAAGGCTACTTTTGAGGCGCCTCAAAAGCCGGATGGTACCATCAGGCGAGGCGATCAAGGCCAGGCCCCACTCTTTGAACAACTTCTTTCTCGTTAAGTTTGCTCTTCCCCATGAGTGAGGAGGATCCCTGGGGGGGGCTCATTTCGTTTTAGATCAGGAAAGGAGATCACAGACGGGCAAATTTGCCTCTTTGAGTTTCTTTCTACCACCGCTTGTAGTTGGAAACTGCCCTCTATTTCAGTCTTGTAACAATGGGTCTACACCTGCACCTTCTTTAGCTTAGCTGCTGTTGAGGACGTCTGCTTTTCACAGAGCAAAAGGATGAATATCCAAAACCGCTGGTACTATATTCAGAACAAAAATAATCTATGCAGCACATACCCACAAGGCGAGACCCCCCCTAACTCTTTTGGCTCATGCTGTCCTCCACAGGACGGAATTGCATAGCAGGCTAGCTGATAGCTGTAGCATGGCAATACAAAAAAAGCTTTACAAAACACTACATAGGATACACAAGTTAAATAAATCATAACTTGTACATAGCAGAAACCAGCGGGCCTGGTGCTGGCCAATCACATGCAGCCGTGCGTCAGCGAGACCAGGAACACAGAGAGCTGTTTCTGTACAGAAAGTGCAGCAAGGGTTAAGGAATAAAATTATTCGACTGCAGCAGTCACAGCACATGCTACCAGCACATGCAGCCACAGCACATGCAGCAGTCACATCACATGCAAACAGATCACATACAGCGACATCATATGCAACAGTCACACCACATCACATGCAGCCGTCACATCACATGCAATCACATTCACATCATATGCAGTAGTCACATCACTTGGAGTCACGTCACATACAGTCACATCACCTGCAGTCACATCACCTGCAGTCACATCACATACAGCCAAGCCAACCACCTGCCAGACCAGGCAGCTTAGCAGTCAAATGGGAGGAGAACGAGGACTAAAATGGGTGGGGACCAATGAGGGATGAAGGGGGGAAAGTAGAGGTCAGGGCCAAGGGGGATGAGGGGTGGATAGGTCGTGGGAGGGGGTTCAGGGAGATGATGGGTGATGGGGGGGGAGGGGGGAGGGGGGAGGGGGGAGGGGGGAGGGGGAGGATCGGGAAGAGGAGGGAGTCAAGAGGTGAACGGGTGATGGGGGTGATGGGGGGGGGGGGGGGGGAGAGGGGGGAGGGGGGGAGGCGGAGAGGGGGGAGGGGGGAGGGGGAGGATCGAGAAGATGAGGGAGTCAAGAGGTGGATGGGAGGGAGACAAGGCGTGAGCAGGGACGAAGTTCAGGTATGGGTGAAGGGAGGAGACGAAGAGTGAGTCGGAAAAAGGGGAAGCAGGAAGGTGGGGGAAAGAGGGGGAACGAGGGGTGAGTGAGTGGTGGGAGATGAGGGTGGGCGTGAAGGAAGGAACAAGAGAGCGCGGCAATGATATGAAGGGGGTGCTGAGGGGGAGAAGGGAGAGAGGGGGGAATGAGGGGAGAGCGGAGAAGATGAGAGAAGAGCGGGAAAGATGAGGGGAGGGCGGCGAGGATGAGCGGAAAGCGGGGAAGATGAGGGGAGGGCGGGGAGGATGAGCGGAAAGCGGGGAAGACGAGGGAGGGGCGGGAGGATGAGCGGAGAGCGGGGAAGGTGAGGGGAGGGCGGGGAAGGTGAGGAGAGAGCTGGGAAGCGGAGAGATGAATGACGTTACTAGGCTAGGTCATGGGGTGAAGAGGGAGAGAAGGGGAAGCGGGGAAATGGGGAGGGAAAAGGGGAAAATTAGGGGAAAATGGCGGTTTCACCTGTTATCTTTCGCGGATCCTCTCCGTCCTCAAAAAAAACATTCACCGCCCATTCTCCCGTTTCTCCCCGCCACTCACCTCCTGCCCTCCTTATTTACGTCTTCCATCCGGCTACCGTCGACGCGCTCTCTAATCGACGATACGCGCAACGTTACTAATGCGTTAAAAGTGACGCGACCAAATCGTCCGCGGACAAATGTTTACTACTCCGCCCGGTATCCGCAAGTGAGAAAAACGTCAGATCTGGAGGCGTGCAACCGAACGCGGTGGGGCGACAACTGAAATGTCGGGTATCCAGATCTGATTCTGCTAGCACGCTACCAAACGCGTGAAGCGACGAACACTAGAACGACGATTAGAGTGTGCCACAACAAGAAACACGATGCCCTTACGCTCCACGTCGACTACCGCGCTAAGATCTGGTAAACAAGACAAGAATCAAGAAACAGCTATCTAACAAGATGAGAGGCGAAACTACCACTGATAGTGTGTCAACCCTCGAGCTATTTACATCTGGAGAATGACGGGTGAGAGAGAGAGGGGGTTAGGTGTGGCAGGTTCGGCAACTCGAGGTTCGGATTGTTGATAATGCCCTGGTCCATTTCTATTGGCTCACGTGAATCTCATTTCATCCAACCATTGTATTTCCAGCTGCCCGAGTCAGCTTTAGCGAGTCAGCTGAACTTTTCCGCGCCACTCACGTTTCCCATAATAACTAAACGAAAGCCGTCCCGCACCTCACGCAACACTCACACGCGTTCGCACATAAAAACTCATGACCCAACTAAAAAAAGCGCCACGTCAACCATCTCCTAGAAGTTCGAGCCTGCCCTTGCTGTTGCGCGTCACCACACCACGCCGAACAATTTCCCCAGCCCGAAATACGCGTCCTTGGCAAACGCGTTTGCATACGAGCAAGTCAAACCAATCTGCAATTTCAAACCCAAATGTGTAAATTGAATGTACTGTACAATCTGGGCTGGCCTGGTTGGATAAGGTGGGCCCACCTCAAAATGTTCCCCACGCGCCGCCCGACGAATGTCCCCTGCCGCAATTTCGACGCAGCATTTTATTGGCCGATGACACAAGCTACCACACCTCTTCACCGTTTCGGTCAGCTGCACCACCACCATCCATCCATTCAAATCACACTGCACTCGCACCGCGCGGCCAGCCTGGTGTCAGGATCCAGGAATTCCCTCCCACATTTAGACCACACCAGCGTCGCGCCCCGTCCCACCGCACTGCACCTAGGTAAATGCTGTTTCGTATCACTGCAACCTGCATTCACCTATCACTTTTGGGTTGAAGTGAAGAGCCGCTAAGACGAACCGCGAGCGCCGCTGTTCAGAATGGCTGCACTGAATTATTTCATCCACTGATCAACGCTTTTCCTTCTGCTTCAGCAGCAACCTTCCACTTGCACCTCTCTCGAGCTTCATCCGCTCCATATAATCTAGCAATGTTGCCTTTGTATCGTTCTTTTCCTTTCATTTCAGACTCTTGGAAGGATTGTCAAAGAGCTCCAATGTAATGAGCACCTGAAGCTACCTGAAGTACACGGTGAAGCTCGAAGCACGAGGCGGCGTTGAGTTAGGGGTTGGGGTGGGTTGGGTAGGTGTCGTGAGGAGCGAGCTGCCAAGTGTTTCGAGCCGAACCGTGTGCTGACGGATTCTCGCGGCAACATATCACCGCGACAAGATAGTAATCTCCACTGCAAGATCTACGTTCCGCGAGATCATCTCCACAAGAGCAGAAAGATCTTCAAGCGGTTCAAGCGGAAAGAGCTTCAGGCTGGTGGTGCGACATCCCCGTCACCGCTGGTGATGCGCCATCCCGTCACCGCTAGTCGTGCGACATCCCTTCACCGCTGGTCGTGCGACATCTCGTCACCGATGGTCGTGCGAAATCCCGTAACCGCCGGTCGTGCGACATCCCGTCACCGCTGGTGGTGCGAAATCCCGTAACCGCTGCCATTCAAGTCTTCACCACATCCCGAGTTGAAGACGGTCGAGTGAAGGTAAGAGCAGTTTTTCTCAACATCCCGAATTGTGCAACATCGTTCAAGTTCTTTCTGCAGTTCCTTCACTGTTTGACGATTTTCTGAGAAGTTTCCTAACTTGTTCCTTTCTTTCCTGCAGATCATCTTGCCGCTGTTCATCTCGGAGGATCTGAAGCTTAAGTCAAGCTCGCGGTAGGCGCTTCAATCACGGGACGGCGCTTCAAAACCCAAGCCAAGCCGGAAGCCCAAGTGTCCCCTGGCGCCACTTCCGAAAGCCATGCTGAGTCAAGATGCTTCCTGGAGCGGCCTCTCCCGTCGCTTGTCAAGATCCGGCACGGCTCGCCAACTGTCGTCACGGATCCTGCACGGCTCGCTTCGACCGTCGCCACGGTATCATTGTGAATCATTGCGTTTCCAAGCTTGGCTTTGAGTTAACTTTCGTTCTTCTTCTCACTTGTCCAAGTTTCGTTCTTCTTCTCTAAGTACTAAT